AAAACCTTGCTTTGATGCTCACATTAGACAATATTTCTGTCATTTATATACCTTGTTGTTATGTTTTGATTCCAGCGCAAACTAAAATTTAAATAATTACTATTCATTCTATATATTCTGAATTTCCCTTATTATGTCGAATAACAGCGATGCATTTACAAATCTTTGTGGCATCTATGAGATCGAACATTTCATTCGACACTGCTTAATAGGAATGAAAGAAAAATTGAAAGTTTTCCGTCCTGTAACTGCCGTTACTAGCCACGTCGATTCTTTCGTTTCCATCATCATATAGAACTTCCAACGCTGAAATATCAACGACGAATGTAGTTGCGATCCCGACGAAATACAGCGACCGTGCGGACAAAGACTGTAACGTCTGCGGTCGCTATAGTAAGTAATCAATAGTAAGATCGTTTCGAAATCTAGTAGAAAAATCGTGCCCACAGTACACTTAGCCACTTACGAAGAAGAGAACCTTTCATCTACAAGATTCAGATGATTGCATTCGTTCAAGTAGGATTGTCCATGCGATTAACATCGGACGAAGACACTTTCGAGGGTAGCCCGTTTAACGTTTAACGTAAGCTCGTCGAAAATTTCTTCGCGCCTAATGTACCCTTAAAGAACTGTTAGGATATGTTTGTAGGCCGATCAGATTTCGTCACACATCCGCCTCGCGATAATTAGCGTTCGTTTTCTCGTCGTGTTTTTCATTTCCAATGGGCCACCGTCACCCCTTTACTACATTATCATTTAATACAACATCTTCCTTTCGTCCGAAATTACGGAACAGTGCGATTTCTATCCTTCGAAACGACGGTAGATCGATGAAGCATCGTATGATTTCGGATTTAAATCGAAAAGGGATATCTTTTAGATTGGGATGTGCTCCGAAGAGTTAGGGAGCGATCAAGTCGAACAAAATGTTAGTACGATGAATGATGAACCGCACGAGTCTTCAGTGACCTGATAGAATTTTATGGTAGAGAGGTTACTTTCTCCCCTCTTGCGGTTCGATTTTTCGAACAACTCTGCAATTATCGCTGGGACAAGGTCATCATCCAAGATAATAGTAATTTTAAATGCTGGGATCTTCACGCAGATGTTAACCCTCATCGTACGAGATTCGGACAATGATCCATTCTTTTTGTCGATTGTGACTCAACTGGATTGCACCTGACCGAATCACATCGTGACAGGACAGATTCAGGTTTCAAGTAAAACATCTGATTAGCCGGCTTATGTTATCTTTAGCAGAAATTTTCATCAAAATTTAATTAGAATTTCATTTTCATTAAAATTTGGAATAATTTAGACAAACGTTCCAACAAACGTTTAACATCATGGATCTAATGAACTCGAAACTTTGAACGATCGTTTTAGAAGATCCAGTACGATCAAGGTTACATCTGCTGGTGGTATGGGGTTTGGTCAGCGAAATCGGTGATTTCTATGTACCATTAAATACGCGCTTAGGTAGAATAATCTCGAAAAAGTACAGTACCGAAGCGCGCGGTCGGCTTTAATGCCTTTATCACGCGCGCATTATCATACACATGCATTCGAATAATTTATGTCTGACAATACAAGGTTGTCTTCAGCTTCTAAACTCGGGCGGGGTAGCGCAATACTTTCGGACATGTCGTCCGCGGTTTGTTTATCCATGTTTCGATTCTTTCGCTAAATATTTTTATCGATATTTTCTTGCAATCGATCACGTCACCATTTCGTCCGTGATCGTGCGTTGAATCGTTTGAGGATCACGAAATCCTCGAACCACGATTCTTTTAGCGAAAAAATGAAATATTTGTTTCGACGTCTTGAGGGCCACTACAATGTTACCTCGAATAACAATCGCTCGATTGTATATATTTCTCAGGTGACATATCGTGAGATTATTATCATTCCCTAAATGCTTAATTAAAAAGTTTCATAGGTATTTTGTTGATCGTCCATACGAGCATAGTTTCGAGCCTTAAAAGTTTTGTAGTGGTCCTCGCGATCCTTTTGCTCGGAGGATTCCAGATATTAAATTCGTGAACGTTAAAGGAAACATTTCCGTCAGTCTACGAGCTACAAAAATTGCGTGACCTCTAAACATCCAGATGTCAATTATCATTCATGTTGCCCGTAAAGTTGTTAATAACCATTTTACTGATTGCTCTTCGTATTGGGCTCGGCCAGCGAGCCACGGAACGATTGTCTATCGTTAAATAATTAAGAGTGTCCGACGAGTCGTTTCGATCCGTAATTTTCATCGCCGAAGTAATGCTTCTGTCGTAGGATGTTACAGTGAGATTTTCGAGAAAATCGTGACTGTACTTTACGTCTTATCTTTTCCTCCATTAGCGAGCACTGGGGAGAATTTCGTTTCGAGACGTCTCGCCGACGAAATAATTTTCAAACGAACAATTGGTTCGCACATTGGTCACGAGACCCGATCGAATCACACAATAACTGGATCAACCAGAGCTCGCTTCGTTGCGATAGATCTCGATCGCCTCTCGTTCATCTCCGCCGATCCTTAATTTATGGGAAAAATGGACCCTCATTGTCTCTGTTAGGACGTAGCTTCTTCCTTCGTTCACCTCTCCTATCCCGTTTTTGCAAAAAAATAGAATCTCTCTTATGTTGCTTTCGTCGCTAGTTACTTCTTCCTTTCGTAAAATTGTTTACCGTTGCACAGGTACACCCTTATTGCTAGGACCTCCGTGAAACTTAGCCGACGACTCTTATGGACGTGATATTGCAAATATGCAATGACACGTCGCCCACTTTGGCTCGCTTTGCCTCGACGTTACTTCATATTTTATTAACACTGAAGTTCCGTTTAAGTCGATGTAACTTCCTCTTTTGATACGCTTTTGACCATTCCGTTACGGCCTTACCTACCACGAAACGCATTGTATTTTAAAGCAATAGAAAAGCTGACACTATTTCTGAACGATTTAACGATATTAACCCTCCGAGCACGGTCCCTGAGTCACGCGAGAGCGAGAGCGACACGCACAAAGTGACGGAGCTGTCGTGTAAATCGCATAGCGACCGATGTTTGTTTACATGCGAACGACCGGGCCAAGACGCCACAGAAGTATTGACTAATAAATATAATTTGTTTTATAATTCACGAGATTTTTATTCTAGTTAGTGTAATAAGAACCACGAAAATCCAAATGTAATGTGTAACCAGCTAATCATTACATTGTATGCATGGTGACGGTGGCTCGAGCTCGAGCTCTAGCAACCGCCACTGCGTAATAACATCGGTGAGGGTCTCGAGCTCGAGCCATACTGGCACTGTGTTAGCACAGTGTCACACACACTGGCTGTGTAGTAGTAGAATATCGATGTGGGGTCACAAATGACATAGGGACCGGTGACCATGTTTCCGTGCTCGGAGGGTTAAAATATAAATCATTTTCAAATAGGAAAATAAACAGAGTGGAAACTCGATTTACTAAAATGTATTCTCCAATCTACTTCAACTATTATCTAACCCAAACCTAACCTTTTAAGCACTTGAAACGTTTATATACGTTCTTGTGTAATAAGAAAATGTCACAACAAATGTTTATACATATACGTTCAAAAGACTGTTTTACCTATAATTTTGTGTTCTTTTTGCACATTTTCTCACCAAATTCACAGTGGTTAATAACAGTAGAAGAGTGGTGATTTCTCGGCAAAGAACTGAAGTCGCTCATAGTACACAGAGATCACTTTTTGGCGGGAAATTTTCATCGCCCATACTGACTATGCAGGTAGACGAAAGGGTGAAGCCAGCCAGATAGAGGCAAAGCGAGCCAAAATGCACGAAAATTCTGATGAAAGAAGTTTGGTATTTCGTAGAATTGACTTGTTCTTTGGTTATCATTCCTTAGATATATTGTGCATTTTTAAGGACACACTCTGAATCGTTCGACATTTGTTTTTCTCCACGAGAGGCGGTTAAAAAGGAATCAAGTAAAAACGTTGAATGGAGAATTGGGGGACATAATTTGAACGAATGTCTGATATTCAGACAACAGAATCTTAGTCTGAAGGTATTAATCAGTGGGTTTGATCAAGCTTCAAAAAGGTTGCTAAGGAAAGTAGCTTATAGACTTTTTAGTAAATGTTCAATTTTTCTATTAAGTATGCAAAATTTTCTATCGATTTAGTCTCAGGGGCTACAATCACTAATATTCACGGAACTAATTGTACTTAATCCTACGTAGACAAACATGTTTTTCTATACTTCGTAGGAGTTTGAAAAAGTAGATTGTTTGTCCAAACATAATTTCTTCAGTTTCAGGCTTTCAAACGATTTGATAAAATTACAGAATACCCATAAAAGTCTCTACTATGTTATAGAATACCATTTGTTAAGTTATATTATTAAAACTGCTTTCGAGAGAAATAATAAAATTCGAAGGAAATTCCGGGAAGAAATGTTCTACCGGGATTTATTCACAATTGTAGGTATGTATTAACAAACACATTACCTTCGATGTAATATTAGTTTGTACCAATTGATAATTGGAATCCTGCCTTTTCACAAGTACTCAAAAAATAAAAGCTACGCACGTTGTTAAGTTGGCTAAATTAAATTAGTCTTTCGCAGAACTTATAATTAACTGTTTTGCTTTTTAACCGTTCTTGAAACGTACAACTATTTCCAATTATCGTGATCATTCCGTTCAGAAAACTTTCAGCATATGCAATTCTATTTTAATCGAGGCTGAATAATATCTGTGCTCGTTCGGTCAGAAATGACCGAATCGATTTGCGACCAGGATTCTGTTGCACAAATATATCAAAATGTCTGCGTCGGACACCATTACATGTATGTATGTCCGCGGCGAGTCGAGGCATTAATTAAAACATAAAATAACCAAGAGAACCTGGAGCGAATGACGGTGTTCGGAAAGAATAATGGCGGGTTCCATCAAGAGATGATTTTCACGACGGACTCATCCTCGTTCTTGAGCAGAAGGCTCAGCCTGAGATCGAGTTCCCCGGCTTCGAGGGCCCATTTTTCCCTGAGCCATCATGGGGAGTCCGCGGTGTGGGTGCCGAGTGTATGGATTGGGAAGAACGGATACCAATCGATTGTTAGCCGTGTCAATGGAAGAAGCTCGAGGCTGACCTCGGCTCCGCCCAGGCCCTGATTACTCTCGAAGGCCTGCTTCTTCTCCCACAGCATCACCAGCAGATTCCGACCGAGAGCGTCGCAGCTATTGTACTTAATAGTTTGACGGTACTCCGGGTTCCTGTTGTGTCGTACTACACGCGTCTTACGCTTCTGTATCCACTTGTCGCCATCTCGGAGATACGTTTTCACGTAGGTATCTATTCCGTGACAAAAGATTAATTGAATTTTCAACGATCGGAGTGTCAGGCGTACCAATGAGTAATCAACTATTTTGTTTCCGGTAGGCTATACCATTTTTAGGGACTAGAGGTCCTATCAGAAAGACATACAGGGAGTAATAAAAATGTTGGACACGCTCACAGGGATAGATTTTATACAGATTGTAGCAAAAGTGTTCTAGGTTCTTGAAATGGATCACTCGTGAGGTGATTTGGAACAAGTTTTTCCTAAACAAAAATGTTATTCAAGGCTGTGTTACACGAGATATTATGAAAAATCTATAACGCAACAAACCTTAAAACTTTGATAGATTTAAATAATTTTAAACGAGTAGAAAAATATGTTAAATTGTTCACTTTAATGGTGTAAGTAAGTGGACGATGGCCTATGTATTATTGTTGCAATGTTAGGGTGATTCATAATTATTGATACACTCCACAGTGTCGGTGATTTTCGCGCTCTCCCAGAATCTCCAAACTGATAAACTGAGATCTCGCGACATAATTAGTTACGATTGTATCTGCCCTTTCGGACTAGCATCAATTTATGTATATTACTTGATCTTTATGTGTTACAAATGCCTCTAGAATGGACAAACAAAATAGACTGACACGTGATATTTATGAATTAATATTTATGAATCACCCTAGTACCCACTAGCACACTTAATTTTGTCAATGGGCAGATTGTAAATAGAAAGTATTGTTATTTTATAACAAGGATAATTGATTACTCATTAGTAAACCTCGTTTATTATTTATAATACGATTTAAGAGATTGTATTAAGTTCAACAAAAGTAGATGTATCGAACGGTAAACACTATGGTTGGTACGTATAGTTGAAGAGCAATATTTGATCCTGGAGTAACGGTTCTATGATGAGGTGTACTTGCAGAGTTCGTATGAGACCTACTAATGTATACAGGGTGTCTCAAAAAGATGGAATAATCGACAACATGAATATTCCTCATGCACAGAGAAATCGAAAGGTCCTTCACCGTTTTGTAATGAATAGCACAATTTCTGAGATATTAACATTTAAACGATCTCACACGTACGCACAGAAGCGGTCAAGAAGCACAACACCCAAGTCACTGGTCTCTACTTCTTGACTGTGTCTTCGCGTACGTGTGGCCCACTGTCCAGCTGATCGTTAACTGTTAAGTCGAGTTCCTTTAACTGCTAATATTGCAGAAATGGGGCTTCAGATTACAAAACGTTAAAAGAATTTTTTATTTTTACGTGCTTGAGGAATATCCATGTCACGGATTGTCCTATCTTTTGGGACATCCTGTATAATTTAACTGTCTATGTGTAGTCACTACGCTGACGCTGTTATTACAGTGGACTCTAACTATATTGCCACGGACGGGGCTGTAGGGGAGTGAACTGGCAATGAGTTCAGAGCCCCCTCCATGCTAAGTTCTACATATCGTCATAGCTTCGGTCTCAGCGCCTGCGCAAAAGATGGATCGTGCTGGTACGCCTTGAAAATACGTGTGAAGGAGAAGTGCCTCGCGTGACAATATGTTTAGTGGCAATATAGTTAGAGTCCACTGTACATGAGACATAGGTCATAAAGTTGTAAGCACGGTTGTAAAATAAATCATTTAGCGAATATAGAAACAAGAAACATACAATACCAGGAGTCAAATGTTGAGAAAACTTTTGATTTTTAGAGTTTTTGTTCCCCTTTATCGAATTTATATACAGGGTACGGCAGAAAAT